CACCCGCTCCCCTTCGCCCCCCCCGGCCTCCGCACCTCTTTGCCGACTGCCTCCTGGTCTCCTCGCGACGTCCAGCGAGAGAGACTTGGAGGTTACATACGGACGAGTAATCGATTCACCCGCTGACAACGCGAGATCGCGGTAAGGAGAAGAGAACGACGATGTCGTCTCGCGACGCGACTCACTTTTTACTCCCTTTTCCTCCGTTCTTCGCGCCGATGGTCCCTCTTCTTCTCTTTCTCGCTCGCTCGCTCGCGCGAACGACGCGATTACGAACGTACTCGCGCGCGCGACGATAGGGGGTCGCCTCTCTGTGTCCGTTTCTCTCCGCACCGCTTCCGTTTTCTTCCCCCGCACGCAATGTGTCTCTTTCTCCGTCTTCCGCTCTGGTTCGTTTCGCTGTACTTCTACCTCTCTCTCTTTCTTCACTCACCGTCTCTTGCTCTCTTTCTCTCTCTCTCGCTCGCTTGTTCGCGTACGCGCGGGCGGGCGGTGCGACACTTCCTAATACGCGACCGTCTCTGTCGTGCGAGTGAGCGAGCGACTGTCTTTCCCTCTCGCGCTCACAAACGAGGACTGGTCGAAGCGGCGACACGCGCTCGTGAAATTTCGTGGCTCTGCCGAGCCTCACGCACCGTTCACCGCATCTCTCGTCGCGTGGTATAGACGCGGATAATCTTCTTCCCTTGCGCGTTTTCTCGCTTCGTCTCTCGAGTATGTCTCCCTTCTCTCTCTCTCTCTCCCACCCTCTTACTCTCTCGCTCGCTCGTTCTCTCTCCGTCGTTGGGTCCCTTTTACGATATCTCGCTTTCTCCGTCTTTCTCCCTCACGACATAGCGCGCTTCGTTTATCGGAAGAAAGGAGGAAAAACTCATCTGGAAGATGGCCGCCGCCCGCCAGTCACCGATTTATCCCTCTCTCGCATGGCGCACTCTTTCCCGACAAGCCACCGCGAATCACCCGGGGATACCGCGGCTCACCGCGTCACGATACACACCAGGTCGTTAACTGCGACACCAAGACGCGCGACGGCGACTCGCGCGACGACACGACTCGGCGGACGACGACGAAGAGGACGACAAGCGAGGAAACACAACGAACGATGACACGGGCGAGAGATCCTAGGTGCCGGTACGGCGCGCGTCGTCCGCACTCACGCTCGCTGACCCGACAGTACGAGTACTAAAAGGCTCACCTCGTAGGAACCGTAACGCACTCTCCTCCCGATACACCGCATACGGACACACGTACGAACGCGCGCATGCACACACAACACACACACATACATACACGACACTCTACACGGGCGGGTACATACTACACAACGTACACACTATCGAAGAGCGACACAGAGGCACTCGCGCGGATACACACATGCGCGCGCGCACACGCGGCCTCGCACGTACGTGTATACACTGCACCGCGCAACGCGGAGCGGCGACGGTGGTTCCGCGGAGGAGCACACACTGGGACTTTTAAAAAAGGCGTCGCGTCCCTCGCGCTTTTATCGCTCTTCTTTACCTTTCCTCACCGTCTCTCCCTCTCTCTCAATCTCTCTATCTGTCTCACTCTCACTCACTCGCTGTCCGTGTCTCCGCTCTTTCTCGCTCACCAACTGTCTGTTCTGTCTCTCGATCCGCCCGGAGCGATCGGCATCGAATCACTGTCTCGCGCGTTCGACGCCTCGAGAAACCGCGACCTGCTCGGTTGTCTGTTGCACTCGCGAATTTTAACGGCAGCAGCAACAACGACGACGACGACGGCGGCGGCGGTGACGACAGTGACGTTGCCAATCACACAACACCATGGCGTTCGCACTACCTCCTCCGTCTCGCTCTCGCAAGCCGAGCGGCACCTTACGGCGCTTCGGCTACTATCGGTGAGCTACGATGTTTATTCGGCGGCGCATCGGCCGACCAGTCACGGCTCGTGGCGAGATCATCCCCGGTTCTCGCTTTCGTTTCCCTACTAGCTGCCGCACCGTTTCGTGTCCCGCGTATATCCCCTTCCCCCTCGCCGGGCAGCGCCGCAGCGGGGGCTTTAAGGGCTCATTCATAACGGCGAACCCGGCGCGTCACGATTGCGCGAGCGGCCCCGCACGATCCGTTTCGACGAGTACGAACCTTGGCGGAATGACTGATTTAACGGTTCAAGACCGTGTTTTACGCCTTAAGTCTTCAACTCGCAATTCTGCACTCTCTTTTATTGATGAAAGCGCTTTAATTGTGCCCCCGGTTAATCGGGTGATTTCTAAACCACTTTTATTAATCAGAGTTCAGAATACGGGTCTTCAAGTAACGCACAATGACTGTCTTGTGTTTTGAATCCTGGCTAAAAAGCCGTTCTGTTTGTGATTGATGACAAACTGCTGTATGATAAAAAAAAAGTAAACAAATGATAATTTGGATAGATTTAGGGCATAAAACATTGTCCTACGAATCGTCAAGTTTAATTTGAACATTTCGTAATTTGAGATCTGAGAGATCCTTCGGTTGAAAAAAAATATTCGGAGACTGACTTTGACTTTTTTTCGTAACTTATAAATTAGTAACGCATATGCAATCGCAATCAGAAGAACCACGTATGAATATTCATATATTGGATATATTATTTCCTCTTAATATATATATATATATATATGTATATATATATATTTTTTTTTTTTGACAAATGACGGCACTACAGTCACAGTACAATAAATCGTTTCTCGGTTTTGCGACACAACTCGCCCCTTCTCTCGTCCCTTTTTCTTTCTACTTACACGCTCCATATATAAGCTGTACAAAAACTCGTATTATAAATATAGAAAACATATTCAATTATCCAACAGGGAGTGGCCTTAAGATTCCAGATCCACTTTCTCTCTCGCTATAATATAACATCTAAAGCTGTGCAAAGATCGTTGAATCGTTTCGCTATTTTGTTTATTCTTCTGTCCTGACACATACCAACACCCGCTTCCGGTAATAGCCGACAAACGAGATAGAATTTGCGTTTCATCGCGTGGAGCCCGTTGCGAGAATTTAAACGAAATTATATTGCGTATATACAAAGGACTAAAAATAAGAATATATATATAACTATATCGGTAGCTTGGCGGCAGCCGACGAAAAAAATGTCTTTTACTCCTTTTAATAAATAAAAGATACATACACTTAACGTATGCAAGCAGTCTTGAATAAAAACGTCCACATACACATCATAAGTGTCTATTGTACATAATTTACTAGATAATTTTTATTTTTGCGATAACCGAGGCGAACAGAATTTGTAATTCAAGGGTAGAACCAAGTGCGTACTCTCTCGAAAAAGAAGAAGAAGGATTCAATTTTCACTGGTGAGCGATCGAGAGATTTACCAAAAATTAATCAAGTGAAACCTTTAATGCGCATCCCGTTGACTAGCAACTTGGTCGTTGTTCGGCTTAAATTTATCGCGCGTTTAATTGCAAATTGTCGCGTTTCCTTTCGCACAGATCGTCCCCGGGCCTCGTCACCTCCTCTACAAACGTATATTACACGTTCCACATTTGGCACACACCGCGCTTATACAAAAGATAAGAATGTACCCCGATGGTGGATGCATCGACTTGCAGGTTCTAACGAACTAAATATCACAAATACGGCGTACTTACGATAATGATAACAGCTTAAACCCTAGATTCGGTGACGCATGTGAACCGTTTATTCTGAAAACAATGTTATACGTCATATCGGAACTTTGAACACAGATTTAACTAAGTGAGATATGTCAGCGATACGCCTAATGTGCCTCAGGCATTCAATCGCTTCCTAAATAAACAGCTCACATAAATTTCTACGTACGTATTGCCTTTTATTAAATAACGATCGAATAACACACACACACACACGCGCACACACGCACGCGCGCACAATTCGCCCGATCGTATCTTCGTTTAACCGATACACAATTTACATCCAATACAAATTTCTCTAAAGTCGTTACTTTAAAGAGATTACAAATTTTTTATTCAAATTTCAAATTCGAAAGAAGGATCAGATTAAAAATTTCTGATTTAAACCTTCCGAGGATGCGCTCATGTTTTGTGCGCGAGAGACCTTATCTGGCGCCAAATGGTTTCGTTAAAAAAAGATTTACGTATGTTTAGTATATAATTTATATATCTCATATTTTCACACATACCCGGTATACAAAAATTCATGTACCCAGCACGAGAGAATGTATCGTGTGTAAAGAACAGAAATGAGTATTGAGTATATCTCTCTCTCTCTCTCTTATTGTAACCGTGAACAAATAACCGCATTACAAAAATCCCATACAAAAAATGCTCCTCGCGCGCGGGCGCTCTACCCTATAAATATTGCAGCGAAGAAAAACTTCTTACCTTAATCAAATACACGTACATTAGCACGACGTCTACGCTAGTAGCGTTATAAACGATCTACCACGTGCGCTAAGCTCAGAAACGTAATTCCGCTAACGACTAACGGCAGCCTCCTCCTCCTTCTCCTTACCACGAATGACCATCCGCACAATCTCCGTAGTGCTAAACGATTTCTTCCGATGCGAGTTACAGGGATACAAGTGTGAGTCAGACTCTAACGGCTATCTATCTCGGTTGAAGTCTATCGTTACTGATATATCGACAACTGTAAGGATCGTCACGTCACACACGGAACTAATCGCGCTCGTAATAATCTCGACAATAAATGGAGGTAGCGATATTGTCAATAACAGGATTAGTGTTGGTGAAATGAATTATGGAACAATGTACAATGCGCTTATGCTTCGTTCGGACACTGTCGGGTCGTTCCAGTGCCGAATTTCTCTCTTTCATATTTTCTCTACGTATATAATAGATCTACTGTATTCGCAATGATACAAAATACTGAGAGAAACCCTGTAAATATATATATATATTTATATATATAAATTTTTTATACCACTGATAACATATGTCTTAACATATGTCAAACGCGTCATTCTTCTTATATTCTTTCTATGCACTTAAAGGAGAATATATATTTTCTCTCTTTCTCTCTCTCTTACCCCTCCTCCCCCTCATCTCTGAGCAATAAATTAAATAAAATCTCGTTGAAATAATTCGCGGAGGTGAAGGAAATATGCTACAACAACAACAACAACAACAATAATAATAATAATAATAATAATAATCATAATCGTGTAAATGTGCGCATAAATATAAGAAGCCACGTTATTTCTTTTTTTCTTATGTACAAAAGATACATGTACTTCCCGAGCGGTAGAGCATCTTCGTTATTAATAGGAAATATTAAAAATAATTGAGAGATATTTATAAAGAGCAACGCCTTATTGTGGCAAAAGAGTGAGTCAAGCGGGGAGGGAACAATCGCCACCGCTGTTTGCGTCACGTGTGTCTTTCGTATAATGAAATTATATCACATATTTCTCTCACACACCATGGACACATAGAAATTATATATATATATATATACACACACACAGAGCTATCCGGCAAGAAATATCATAAGATTACACTTACACTTAAAAATCAGCGATACGTCAGCCTGTAATTTTCAGCGTTTGCTCAGCGGCTTGCGGATCCGACGAATCTTCTCGCGTGAAGCTGTACATCACATTAATGTGATTCCGTTGTACGTACGTGGTTTCTTTTCTCTCGGATCTTTCACGCCATGCTTCATCTCGCTAAAAATTAGGGTTCTCTAAAAAAAAATATTGGGCCGTTTAACGAACACGTTTCGTTATACGTGCGCGACAACTTCCTCCTCGCTTGCGGCTTTCGCGCGTCTTTACGCCGTATTATGCTCTCCACTGGTGACGGTGGTGGCGGTTGTGGTCATGGTGGTCGTAGTGGTCATGGTGGTGGTAGTAGTAGTAGTAGTAGTGATGGTGGTGGTGGTGGTGGCGTCTTGTATCTTTTGGTATTTGTAATTTTAGTTGCGATCGCGTTCACGTTTCGGTCGTATCATCGGCATGAATTTCTATATTAATCGAGACCTACGGTAATGTCCGCGTTATGAGCAGCGGAGACCGTAATCTCCTCGTCTTCGATGGACTCTCTGTCGGTGACGTTAGACGTGACGTTGGTGTGATGGATGTTCGTCGTTTGATTGTCGATTTTCGTCGTCTCGTCGACCGGTTGGACCGTCGTCAACGTGCTCCACCAGTTCGAGAACGCTCCCTTCGCCTGTGACAGCGCTCCTCCTGGTAAAAATGAAGATAAAACATGTGTGAGAGAAAAATGAAAAAAAAAAGGATAGAAAATATAAATAAAAAATATACACTCGTCTTTTTCTCTCTCTCTTCCTCTTTCTCTCTGAAATATATATATATATATATAAAATTAAAAAAAAAAAATATATATATATATTTTTTTTTCCTCAACGATCCATGTGATTTATTGCTCCCCATTGTTTGATTCAGACTTCGATCGACGGGTCATGTGCAAAAGCAGCTCACCTACGGCTTTCCCAGTGGTGGCCACCGCGCGTCCGGTCGACGCCATTGCCTGATTCAACTTTCTACCACTCTCCGTGTTCTGCATCGTGCTGAAAGATACATGAAACGAACGTTTCTTACTTTCACGTCATCGTACAGCTACCGCACGAAGCGAGACGTATAATCAATCCTGGTGTCTCGCGTGCGGTGAGCACGTACACTGTGTACATTGATGCCTTCGCAAGAAGGTCATACTTACTGGGACAGGCGCAGTTTCATGTCCTGCACCGACAATTGGCCGGCGAAGGGATGACCGGGCTCGATGTTGTGTACCTCCGACTTGCTGGCGCTGCACCACGCCTTGTAGTTGTTCGTCGCGCGCCACGCGGCCACGAAGGCCGCGTTGTAATGGTCCGACTGGCGGGTATCCTGCTGCATCGAGGTGCGCAGCATGCTCAACAGGTAGACGCGAAACTGCGTTCGGATCCACTCGTCGCCGCCTTCCCACCCGACCCCGTCCAGGAAGATATCCTTCCGGGGCTCGGCCACGTGCCTCACCACGTAATCGGCGAATCTCAGGTCCTCGGTGGTGAGATGCAGCTGCCGCCTCAGATCGGGATCGGTCGCCTCTATCCGCGTGTTCTCGACCTTTCGCAAACGACGTGAGAGATCGTGAGTGTATTCGACTTTACCGCTTCTCTTAAAATGCAAATCCGGCATCGTTCGTCCGCTCACCTCGACCAGCACGTCGATGAGCTGCTTCTTCTGCTTGAACAGCACATTCGTGGCGCCCACTATGTACCCTCGAACGTTCACGTCTCCCAAGAGGTCGAGATAGGGCAACGATAGATACGGCAGGCAGAGATATCCCTGCAACAAATATTTTTATCTCGCAGCATTGACTATACAATGTTGTACGACATAACGGAAAGATCCCACCGATCTCTGTAACAAAGAGATCCGATATGTTATTACGTATTTCCACGATATCACGGGAGCTTCCGCGTTACCTTCGTAAATAACTCCAAAGGTAGGCCGCAGAGCTCCGGATTGATGTGCGCGATTTGCGTGATGTTGTTCGTTAATCTCGCGTCCGAAAGCGCGTCGTTACTCGTGTCGCGCGGTAAGCTGTTATCCGTGTCGCCCGTGCCTAACGTGATGGCGTTCACGCTGTGCACCCTGTGCACGTTATCGTTCGGCTTCGGCGAGTACTTGGAGTTGCTGTCCTCCAAGTAACTCTCGGTGCACTCTTGCGCCGACTCGATCTCGATAACCTTCATGTTTAAGTTCTCGTTGTCGTTGTTGTTCTTCTGCAGAGTCACGTCCATGCACTTGCCCTCCATGGACTCGATCGTCTTGTTGTCGTTGATGCACAGGGAGTTCCGGTTGCTGTTGTCGTTGCACCGCTCGTGCTCCGTTTCCGATGTGTTGTTCTGAACGATGCGGGCGGACGACAGGTTGGAGTCGACGTTGTTCATCGAGATTTCTTCCTCGTCGAAGGTGGGAATCGGCGACATCGGCCTGGATGGTCTGGGGAGAGTACGATTTCTTCGTAAGATGGTTATTCACCGAGTAATGAGCGTTCCAGACTAGCCGTTATGTACTCGATTATTCTTAGACCGAAAGAATCCAATTAGTCAATTAGCTTACTGCTTACGTCTCACTGTATATTCTTACAGGTATTGCGGGATGAGGTTAAAAGAAAGAGCTTGAACAAAGTAACACCACCTGACACACGCAGCCTGTTGAAGACCGTGCTCTATCATGCCGGGATACAGCGACAGTAGAGTCAATATCGTGGCGCACAGCGGCTGCACCGGTGACTGATAGAAAACTATTCTCTTCTCGAGCAGGAGTAACTTGAACAGGAGCAGTACCTTGTGACGGAACTGCAGTATGAAGTCTCTCGCAGATAAGCCTGTAAATAATCAGCACGTCATATGAGCGACCTGGCTGGCCTGAGGATCTGCTCGCCAAACAATCGTTCCATTACCGACGAAGATCTGCGGTGGTATCTGGCTGTCGGTGCTCATACATGAATTCAGATGATGATAGGTGTCCTCCAGCAAGGACACCTTGCTGAAATCCCCCTCCTCGAAATAAGCGTGCGTTATCAGGGCCATTTTCACCTGTATGTGCCCGTACAGAGGCAGAGTACTCAGCACGCAGACCGACTTCTGAACGGTGCCTCTCGTTATGTCGGATGTGCGGTTCTTCAATTTCTGCAAGCAAGCACGGGTGACACGGCGTTCCACTTCGGCCGAGTATCACTGACAGACACCGAACTCGCGATACTTCCACATACCTCCACCGGTATCTGCCTGAAGCACGAGATGCCGTATATCGTGCGCTTAGGATCATTGAGACTGGGCAGGTGGAAATAGACCGTGTCTTCGTCGTAATTATGGGAGCCATCGGGGAGAGCGAGCGTGGGCAAATACTTCCATCCCAGGGGACACTCGTTAGGCGCGCCAGGTACCAAAGGTGGAAACGAGTATTCTACCTGCGCGGAGGGAAGTCGCGTGTGTCAACGTGAAAGCGACGAGAGACAGGTTAATCGACGGGTATACGACTGTACGGTTTTTACCTGGCAGCCTTTCTTGTGATGAAACCCGACGACGATGACGTGAAGAATCGGCCCGTTCGATTCCGCCATCGCTGCGCCGCCAGTCGAAGTCGAGGCGAAACGGTCCCGGATGCCGAATGCTTTATCTTCGCCGACGGCTCTCGTATGTCATTTCAAAACCACAAGGAATCCTTCTCTACGGCCAGATAAGCGATAAGCTGACAGCCACACGCGATTTGACATGCGCCATGACGCATATATATATGTACACACACGTACACACCACCGAACCCGTGGATTTCCGCAACGCCGGGCATTTCCGGTTCGGTGCGCGTCGCGTCTAGATATTCGCGCATCGTGACGCGCGGCGGTGCTGACATCTGTCAGCAGCCTTCGGCAGAGTGCGAAACGTCAAGTTCGTGCTTGCCGTTTGCATGCCGCCCCTCTGGCAGCGATAGCGGGGGAAAATCGATAGTGTCTCGCGCGGAGATACGCGTTAAGCGAAGGAATTATGAATGACAGGGGCGCACAGCGACGGTGTGCTCGCGTTGCCGAGAGGCCGGACAGTCCGGGACGCTATGAGTGTCAGGAGTCGGGAGAGCAGCAGTAAATCTTCGCGCTGCCCGCGGAAAGCTGCGGTCCCTGCGCAGGGGGATTGTCACTGATCGGATCTCGTTGATGGAAGGGACGCTCCAGAAAGCATGAGATGCGTAAGAACAGCCTCAAGAAAAACACGTGAGTTCATGTGACTTCGGAATGACGAACGCGAAAGGTACGGGGTGATAAATAAATCCCGATGAAACTCGCAGATTCAGTCCGCTGGCACAGAAGATAAAGGCCCCGCAGCATTTGCTGAGGCTCGGGGACGAAGAGGGCGAGCTTGACGATGAGAGCAGCGCCGGCCGCTTCCAGTTGCCCAGCTTGCCACGACGGAAGTCGTGGAAGGACGACAATAATGTTCTGTCCACTGGGAACAGCGCGGCAACCTCAGTCTCTTGGTCGCAGAAGGCGGAGAACGTTGCCACCCAGAGGCTGGAGCAGCAGTGGGCGACCGTGGAAAGGTCCTTTTATGAGGAGGACGATGAGCTGTCCCAAGGACCTGTTTCGGATGAGTGTATACAATGGAGAACACAGATACCATACTTCAGGTTAATGGGTAGGAACTTAGCTGGCGCCAACGACAAGGTACAGCAGCTTGATGTTCGCGCCAGCGCCAAAACCAGGAAGAAGTTGGACAATCTGCAAAATGATGAAGCACTCGTGGAGCATAGTCTGTCAGTTAAGGTAAAACAATATAGCTTTTCCCTAATAATATTTGTAATACATATTTTTAGAAGTACTATAATAACACTAAATTAATACTATATATTGGTATATACAAATACACAAATACACACATACACTATCAAAAAAAAAAGATATATATATATACATATGTATAGTGCTATATACTACACATAAGAGAAACATTATATAAATTAGACTTATATAGACATAAATATATTTATATTGTATGATATGATAATATGTAACATGTACGAACATTTTATATTTGCACTGCATTTTACGTTGCTTCTTTTAATATTATTTATAGGAGAAAGAAGATTCTACCCAATATAAGTTGAACAAGGCAAAATTTGAAGACGTCCTCGACTTACTGATGGAACATGTAATATCGGAGCTTTTTACTGACAAAGAGGACGACGACGCGGATTCTTTGCACGAAAGCTTGAGTGATACTTTGAAGATAACTCCTGCTCCCCTCCACGGTAACAGAAGAAGCTCGTCGAGAAGCACGAAGACAAATTGGGCGGAGGAAGCGGTTTCGCCTAATTACATCGAGAACAAGTCACTGAGCATAAGAAATCGATTGCTGGATACGGAAAGCTCTCTTCAGACAATAAAAAACGACACGAATTACGAAGCGGTTCGAAAGTAAGCGAAACGAAGGGGAGAGAAGGGGGAAGTGTCGAGTGTAGATTCTTTCTTGACGAAATTCGCTTTTTAGAAGACAGAGGAACTCGGTCTCTGCGAATAAGCCGAGGGACTTCGGGGGCGACGACGATGCGTTACAGTCCAAGGAGAGGCTGTGCACGCCGCATATAAGCAGGAACAAGCTCGGCACCGTCTTCAACGAGAGGATCGTCGTGAGCCCTGTGCCTTTCGCGGTGTCCACGCGAGAAAGCTTCTCCACGTTGAAAAACACTCCGATCCGATTCATAGGCGAGAACTTGGAGATCTCTTCCTTCCGAGGTAAACGCCACTTCATTCGGTGACAATCGACTCGAGTTTCACGATATCGACGTAACGACGTTCGCCGATGCTCCAGGATCCGCTCGGAACATGCTGGGTCTCCGAGGTTCCGCGAGAAGGTCGTTTCCCACGAGGCATCCGGATATTCACTCCGCCTGGCAAGCTCCCGTTTGCCCCGCTGTCTGGCCGAAAAACGTCCGGCTCGCACCCATCGACACTTCGAGACTTCCCAGTAGCAAGAACAGGTGTGTGCATGTCGCGACTTGTCGGGAAGTTGGGACGTTCCCTCGACTTTCAGCCTTGGGACTGATTATTCACAGCCAGATTTTATATTCGAGATCTGACTGTATTATCGGCCACAAGCTGGGAGCTCGAGGGCGAACGGTAATTGGGCGTGTTCCAGGTCACAGGCACCGTCGCCCACTGTCCTGCATTGCAGCAGGAAGCCGTTGAGTCCGATCTCCCGTCCCACGATCCCCAAGTCGGCCCACGCGGCTCGCGAGCTCGACAATCTACTGGAGATTCAAGGGAGGCACGTCGTTCCCGCGCAGTCGTCGAAAATCGGCCTGCTCTCGGCCGGCTGGGACTACAGTCCCCGGGTGGCCAAGGGCAAGAAGAAGAAAGCTCGAGCGAGGGAGGGGCCGTGAACGAAAGACCGCAGGAGGGACGAACTCGCGCTTTACCATACAAATCATCGCTTGCGAAAACAAAAAGAAAAAAAAAATATATATATATATATAATTATATTTTTTAGAAATCGTTATGTGTCCTGTGCGCAGTTGCGAGAAAACCGGAGAGTACAAAATGCTGCTTCAACTGCGTTCGGTTTTCGAGGCGGGATTACGCTTGGAGCACAGCGAAACGCTTTAAGAAAGATACATGTATATTTTTATCGTGTCGGTATAATCTAACGGGAGCGAATCGCCGTGATCACGCGATTTCTATTTTCAGGTAACATTGCCGGATAGATGATATATGTATACACGTATCGTGACTATCTCTACCTCATTACACGTGTCCGCGTTGTTCCGAGTGTTCTTCACACGCTTCTCGCGAATGGATATATATATATATATTTTTGTATATCGCACAATTATGTGTTACTGTAAATATATTAGACTGTTGCAAGTGAAATGACCGTTTTTGATTGCTCACATTTGAAAAATGTTTATATTATAAATTCAATACGTGTTTTCTTGTTCAAAATAGTCTCCACCTACTTCAGTGCGCTTCTTCCAACGCGATACAAGCCCTTCAACGTCGTTTTGATAAAATCTGGAGACTGAAAGGCATTGAATCCTCCAAAATCATTTCAAATTCTGTTATATATCATAGCAAAATTTGTATCTGTAGTCTTGCGGCATTTCCTGTCGTATCTGTGTTTCGCAATATCTTAACTCGAAGAAATCAGATTTGCTTATTAAACTATTTTTGGAATCTTCCTCGCAAATGTATCTAGTCTTGATATTAAAGTCATTAAATTTTGCCGGATTTTGTAATTAAGATTCTAAAAGTTTATGATAAATGAAAATGCGAACTCGTGCACTCCAAGTGCCGCGAGTGTACGACGTGGAGTGCAGTACGAATCCGTATTTTTATTTTTTATAAATTTTTAGGAATTTAATTGCAAAATCTCTGACTCTGTACAGGACTAAGTACGTTTGTAAGAAATACTCCACAAATAGTTTGATGAGTAAATATGATTTCTCCGAGTTAAAATATGAGAAAACGCAAATACAACGGAAAGTATAGCCTAGTGGCACTTCGAATTTTGGCTCTTGCCGGGCTTTAATCGTCTATTAAATTTTATACCATGATGGTGTAGAAACGGATATCTGAGTCTCACCACTGCCACTAAAGTGCCACTTCGGCGATAAAAGAGAACTATCGCGATAATTTGACCCGTTTTAATTTTTAGACCCGTTATTTTTGTTAGTTCCGAAGCCTCCGCAACGCGTCGCTTCGTACCGAAGAATCGAGGTTGTGACACAACTCGACAGTGGTCCGCCATCTTCTTTGTTTTTCAAGTAGTATGACTTTAATCGCTGATCTAATATTTTGGCGGTTCTTCGTTTACCCAGCAATTCTGTTAAAAAACTGAATATCAATCTTTGCTCCCCACAATTGGCATCTGCAACTGGAATTAGCTATGTCGTCATTCGAAAGTTGGTATATGGATGTTTGTTGCCCCGGCCATTTAACGGAACCGAACGGAATGATCAGAGGTTCTTCTGTTATACGAAAAATAGGGGAAGTTCAACAAGTTGTAATTTTGGTAAAAATGATGATAAGAAGAATCGAAAAGTATTTTAAAGAGAGAGAGAGATAATCTTTTTTTTATTTTATATATTAATTTAATATATTTCTTTCAATTCTTTAGTTGAATACAGGCTATGCTGCATCCCAGCGAGAAACGAACGTCCATCGATTCGACGTCAAATTGACGTAATACAATGTCGAAACAATTATTATTGAAATTACATCGAACCGACATCGATTTTACGTCAATTCGACGAGTTATTTCTCGCTGGGATTCGATATCCAAAAACCGATAATCTGGAAAGAACAATTCAAAAAGAACGTTTGTTCTGGAAGCAGTGGTCACATTCAACATGTATTTTGTAACTATTGGAAGTTTTCTGAACTATGATTATATTGTTATTTTAGATCTGGAGGATTAATCCAATTTCAGCACAGGAAACTTCCAACAGTTATAAAAAGGAACATTTTTCTGAACGCGGTCAATACCGCATCTCGTTGAGAGTTTATTTAATTAATGTCGCTGATGCACGACACGTGTCAATTGTCGACATTCATTTGCGCGGTCGATACGAGAGGTTTTTTACATGGTTATTCGAAAGAAATCGGCCAGTAAAACATTCAGTTTATTTCTACGTGTTTTTTTTTTATTACGAACACTTTTATGAAAATCATAACAATACAAAAGTAGATTATTTGAAAGAGATAAAAATAAATTTATACAAGATAATTTGTTTGATTGTGCTATTTTTCACAATGTATAGTCGCGTATAAAGTTAACCTCAATCTGTCCGCAAGATGTCTTCATTAAAGAATAAGTCTGAAAGCCATCACAAATTGAACATATAACGTTTCAAATATCGTTTTTTTCTGATATTTACACGAGATTTGTTTTCTTCGGAATTTCAAGACGTTTCTCATGATATTCTCTGCCTGGGGCTGTCCTTTTTGGCGTGTATTGCAGGGAACGACGAGTTAAAAATAAATCCCATAAAAACAGGATAAATGTTAAAGGGAGACTTTTTTATTGCCACGTGTGAAGTATTTTTATGCACTCACACGAGAGAGAGAGAAAGAGAGAGAGAAACATAGATGCAAGGACGAACGCGTAACATTCTGGGTTTAATTAATATCCCGTGTATTTTTGCGAAGCGAGATTATGACATTCCCTGGACATCGTTATTGCCTACGCACGAGGTGAAACACGTGGGGGGTAGCAGAAATTCGAACGTGGGGTAGCGTTTGCGCAAGTTCCGTCTGTCTTTGGCGCTGCGACACTTCGCGCGGCGCGCTTAGTTTCGCGCGAGCTCGCGGTGGTGGAGGGTTACGCTTCTCAACGGCCGAAGTGAACATTGCGGTGAGCTGAATTCGAAATACCGAAGTATAATACAGATAGAGACTGGGACGCGACAGGGAATTTCAGAGAGGGAAAGAGAGAGAGAGAGAGAGAGAGAGATAAAATCCAATCCGGTTGGAACGACTGTTTCCGAATTGTTGCCAGATAAATCAACGGATTGAGGAAGCTCGCTTGTGAAAAGTATCCCGTTCTGCTGATCAAAGTTCCCGCAACGCGATTATTCCCTCGTGACGAACGAAACGTATATGTTGCAACGCAAGTTTTTAAGATAACTTTTTAAGATAATTACGTAGCAAAACATATGCTGTATTGACTGTGCATAGATTATATAAGACTGTACACACACATACACACACGCACACGTTACATAGATTATACATTATATAATTGTTATATGGATTATATAGTTGTCTATAATAGCGACTATATAACAAGAACAATGCGGAGAGGCGCTTTGTTAATTTTTATCCGGGCAAACGGATTCCGCCGGACGCGTAATTAAATTGTCTCGGGAAATGCGAGTTTCATTTAATGAAAATATTCAAAACACAATACGGGGGGAATATAAAAATCATACTGACAGATTCATAAATTCAAGGCTATGCTGAAATATAACAGTCACTGAGTTTCATCCGCGCGTCAGAAGTATAAATCTCATTTCCATAAGGGAGAGAGAGGAGTGACTTCTAGAGATTTAACATACCTCGCCAGCCCGGGCGGGAATTAATAAGCTTCCTCCGAAAAGTTTCCTAAAAATATCCTCCCGCGGTCGATTCAGAATTAAAGCACGAGTTGTCCGATCTGACTAATCACAAGCGATATATATCTTTGCAGAATCCGCGTCGAAGGCGGAGAGTGCAACACGCGGATTCTACATCGACCATCGGCTCATGATCACTCAGGCGAAGAACTTGACGAAGGACCTCACCGGCATGTCCACCTACGAGAGGTCGAGCGAGGCGCAACACTTGACGACGATGACGAGGATCGTGGGGGTGTGCACCGCTATTGGTGAGTCGACGATTGATCTCGTTGAACAACCGTATCGGCTTATCCTCATACGAAGCCTCAAACGGAAGGAGATCTGTAGATAAAGATAGAAAGCGGGAGGGGGGGATGATAGAGAGAGAGAGAGAGAGTAGAGAATGAAAAAGAGAAAGGAAGAGATGTTACCGTGGTTCGAATAGAAATTCCATCTCGAATAGCCTCGCGGCAAGATAAAAACGATCGTCCCCCCGGTTGGCTCTTGAGTGCGTCCGGGAGGGGGAGAAAGACGGGGGTAGCCGGTGAGAGGACGACGCTGTACGCTTTTCATTACCGCGTGAAAGAGCTTACACCTGTCTGCGGGGCTCTTTGCATTCGCTTAATATTAATGGATCGTTATAACGGCGGAAGACAAGTAGCCATTCGGACTTTCGTCTCTTCTTCTCGCGGTTCCGCGCGCTCCCTCGCTCGAGGGTGTCGCTTAAATGGGGTGTCATTCACTATCGGCGCGTCGTCGCTCGCCGCGGAGTGTCCGAGCGAAAACGATCGTGGAGCTCTCTCTTCTTCGCGGATGAAGTTCACGGTTCTCGTCAGCGATGGATGCGTTTTCTTTATTTTTCTTTTTTCTCCTATTCTTGCCTCTTTCCACCGGCACCTGTAGCATTAAGATAAGGAGGTAAGGGAAACTGGGTCGGATTGGCCGGGTCGTACGTTTCGTTTGTGCATTCATTTATGGCGAGAGAAACAGCGGGAAAGTAGTCGCGAAATGTTCCTCTCAGAACATACGTGTACTTTTCCCGTGTTCTGAGAGGAGCGTCTGAAGAGAGGAAGGATAGCTGTTATATGATAAGACCATTTTTCACAATAAGAAAGGTATCAGCAGTTTTAAAAGGTGCATTTCATGTTAGAGAAAGTAGTCATGTTTCGAAGGGAACGTTTTAAGTTGGAAAAAATATCTAACGATATATAACGAGAGCTCTAACGAGAGAGAACGTTTTGCAATAGGATGCGTATCGATGTTCCAAAGGAAACATTTTACGATAGAAAAGCATAAATATTCCAAGAGGTACATTTTGATATATAGAAAAAAGTGCTACTCGATTCAAGTAAAATATTTTCCAATTTAAAATTGTCTGAGTAACATATTTACTTGATCCAAGCAAAATTTGCTTATTCCGAGTAAAAATTTGCTAAAGAGTATTGGAATAATTATTTACTTAAATCTAACACTTTTTTCCTACGTATCAAAATATTCCGTTTAGAACACTGATACTTATCCTAACTTAAAATATTCCTTTCGATACATGAATACTTTCCTTGTCGTGGGAAATGTTCTGTTAAAGAACACTGGTATTTTTCTCATTTTCGTGAAGATGGCCCTTTTAGATTTCAAAGTTACTTCTCCCACCTTAAGACGTAGAAAAAGTATCTGTCGTGCCTAACATTTTCTTCCTATACCGAAAAATGATCAATATTCAAAATGGATATAAAATTCACGATATAAAATAGACATCAATATTTCGACAGAGACATTTTGCGATAGAAAAAGCATCAATATTCGATCATTTTGCGATGAAAACATGACGAATGTTCTGAAAGGCTGCATTTTACGATAGGAAAGGTATCTTTATCCCAAAAGAGACACATTTCACGGCGGAAAGGGTATCTGTATTCTGAAAAAAAAAAAGAAATCAGTGTCCCGGAAAGGAAAATTTCGCGATATGAAAGGTATCTGTATTCTAAGAGGAGGCCGTTTCACGATGGGAAAAGTATCGGTATCCCAAAAGGAGCGTTTCGCGAAAAACGGGAAACTGCGTCAACGCGCTCAGCTCGGGGAGGGACCTTTCGCGATTCCTTCTCCGCGACATTCTCTCGCAAAACACGCGAACGAGACGCACCGTCAACACGACCTTTCAGCCCACTTGACCCGCAGTATCGCGTGTACTAATGGAGCGTCGCGCGAAATCGCGAGCCTCCGGCGTCGCGTCCGGCTGCGTCCGATGACGCGTGTTTACCTCGCTTCGGACAGTCCCCCCTCCCCCTCCCGGCCCTCGCGTTGGTGATCGTGCGCCACAAACAATAACGAAAACTACTCCCGGCGGATCCGGCGTCCTCCGTTCCCACCGATGGCCTCCATTATCCCCGGATGAACGACGGAAGCTTTTTGCGGGGTGACGTGCCGTCGCGACGCAATCGGGCGACGGACGACGTCGATGGTGGCGGCGACGCGCGCGCGATGCTGTCGCGACGCTGACTCACCGTCGTGCTCCGGAGGTCCGCAGCGGGACTAATTGCCCGCGACAATTCCGCTTTGGTGGGTCTTAATTGATAACACTCGAAAGCTACATGCCCGGGGCTCCAATCAGTGCGATCGATTAGGGCGAATAAATGGCGAATCACGTCCGTGCCGCGGGCGACGTGTATCGTGATCGTCCGTTTGACGCGTAATCGCGCCCGGTCGTGCCAAACGGCGAAAGATAGCGGACCGAAATTTGGAGCCGGGGGATGTAGAATTGTACAGCGGCGGGTAGTTGCATCGTACGTGTGCTTTATTTCCTCAATTTATTTTGATCGAGCTCGGCGAGACTCCTCCGTAAATTCTATACCGGGTGGGGAGGGAAGAGAGGCGAGAATCGGGTTGAGAGAGGCGAGTGTCTGGGTTGCGCAGAATTCGAGTGTACAGTAGTTGCTTAATGGCGGGGTTGCATCGTTCGTGTCGCTCATATTCTCAATTTATTTTTCGAGCTCGACGGATTCTTGGTCTACGTTTGAGGGAAAAAATCGGGTAAAAGACTAACCTGACAAGCAAGGAATCGTTAACACGATATTATTACAGTGATATTTAATAAACGTTTTCAAATATGTAGTTTTTAATGTAGTATACAACGTCTTTGCTAAGGATATTTGACGCAAACATTAAAGTGAATATTTCTACCCGTGATGTTTATATTTAGGAATATTGTATCATTGAATAACAGCATTTATAAAATATTACGTCAGGAGTAATTATTATGTTAAAAACGTTTGCAAAATATGCTATCAAAATATTTACGAAGTCCAATCGTAAAATCAATGTTTCCAGAGATTGATTTAACGTTTCTTGCTTACCGGGAAGTTTCGCGTAAATTTTGTTGCGCAAAATTGGAGTGTGTTGGTCGGTCACAAATAGGCTGCAACACTTTTTTACGACGAGTTTCGCAACGCATCTCGTGCCCAATAGAAAAATGTCTCTCTTGAAAACCACTGAAAAGCAAATTCTCCTATTGGACGCATTTCTATTGGACAGGATACGTTTCGAAACTTATTAAAGAAAAAAAAAATGCAACCTTTTCGTGACTGATCATACAGTTGCATAAATATGGCGGAATTGCATCATTCGTATCCTTTATTTTCTCGATTTATTTCTGTCGAGCTCGACGAGCTCTTCGCAGGTTCCACACCCGGGAAGGGAAAAAATTCGGTATAAAGTACTATTACCAAGTCTCGTGCACGGAGTAACGTGCACTTTGTTGCGCAAAATTGAGGTGTACAGTTGCATAATAGCGTCGTGCGCGTCTTATTTTCTCAATTTCTTTTCGCCGAACTCGACGGACCTCCCTTCGCGGTTTTACGCCGTAGGGAAAAACCGGGCAGAAAGAACCAAGTCTCTCCTCAAAGATTTCGTAAACGCTATTACGCTCGGCGTTTCGCCGAGTCGAATTGAAGAAAAATCGAATCATCAGATCTCTCGCTGCAATAATGCCAAGCACCGTATCACCATGCCATTGCGGACGCAAATAACGATTTCTTTTCTCTCAGTCTCTACCGCGTTTAAATTACGTATCGAGGATAATTAGCGCAACTTTGACACAACAGGAAAATTTCACTGCTGGAATGAGGATGTTATAATGAGGCCGCAAATATCTCCTCACGGCCGGTTCTCGCTTAATCAACTCACTGAATTCGTTCAACTGCCGACACGAGTTGTTTCGGTGATCCTTTTCTCTATTTTTTTTATTTAACAACGCTCCTGAGTCGCGATTTTCCTCCTACGGTTCCCGCAGTTCACCCCCGGCGATCACCGTGGTTACGTAAAGAGTCACGTTGCCTCGCTCGTGTCGCGCTGCGTTGAACCCAGCTCAGCGATTTTCACCCGGCTGGTGGAGCGAGTGACCGGGGCGAAAAGCCCCGTTCCCGAGGCTTTTAATTGCTACGTGCGCCTCGCCAGTACGAAAGGAAATATTTTACGGGGCCGGCTCGCTCGCGGACAAAGCTCCGGGAGATTTTCGCGAAATCGCGCATGCGCACGGACACGCTCGCTCACGGATTAATGCGGCGGGATATTTTGCCGGTAAATTGGCTCGGAACGTTCGTTCTGGTACTACGCGTTTTCCCCGCGTAATAATGACGCGCGCGCGCGCGCGCTGCTTGTTTCGCGAATGTTTTATTGGCTGCCGGTTTAAATTTGTTGACATCCCCCCAGTGAGTGGGGGGATGCATAGCGCGCGGTGTGCGTCGCGACTAAAGCCGATACGCCACGAAGATATTTTTTTGTGCGTTATTCTGTTTGTTTTTTTTTTTTTAACATGCAAAGGGAATCCGAGCGCACATCGAAATTTGCACGGTTACAAACGACGCCCGCGTCCATCCGCGACATCGTCGGCCACGGGGACGGGTCATGCTTCTCTTTCTCTCTCTCTCTCTTCCCTTCCCCCCGGCCCCGAAAATGGAATTATTGGCGAGATAAATAAAGCAACGCGAAAAGCGGACAATGCAGCCGCAGCGTGGCGAGACCGCAAGCGGCACGAAACTGCTGACGGCTTCGAACAAGCGGCGTTATTTAATGTCGCTGACGCTCCTACACGTTTACACCGCATTCCGTTTTTCCCCCGCTTAATCCGAAAGCGACGAGACGCCGAGGAAAAGTCCCACCCGTTCGTCCACTCGTCCATTCACCCATCCGTCCGTCTTGTCTGTCCGTCTCGACGCTTCGCGCGAGTATTCTTAGATCTCGCTATTATTGGGGCATTTTTAGCGCGCTGAATTTT